ATCTGCAGTATAAGATCTCCTAAATTAAATTCACCATGCTGCCTCTACCTTCCCCTCCTCTCACTTGCAGTGCCTGGCATGTGATATCCATATTGCTTATAAGCAATAGAAGTCCCAAAGATCCCATGATTTTGTGGTTTGCCAGCACTGTTCATCACAGAACACATGCTCTGTCTCTACATTTTAAGTCTTCACCTTTGCGAAATTCCTGACTTAAAAAGTAAAGGACATTTCTCCTTCAGGTACACTACAGGTTATATTCCATGAAAGTGCCTTATGCGCAGCTGTTTGGCTGTCACACTTGAGCAAATATAGCAAATATTAAGTGCCAGGATATATTCTGCTTATTTGGGAGACCTCAACTGTGCTGTTTTAAACACTAAAGAGAATTGGAACAAATTGCAAGAATAGGATAACATGTACAAAACTCCCTTATCTTTGACCCAAGGAATTCTTAAAAGCATTAAATATCTTTAGAAAAAATTTTATTCTAATTGCATCTACAAGTAACTTTAAAGTCTTCTGAGGATCTTTGTGACCCCTGATTAGAACTTTGTAAAGACAGAGACTGGAAATTAACTGAAGTACCCAGACATACTGAAATAGGAGCTTCCCCCCATCCTCCAATTACATAAAAGCTATAATTATATTTGTTACAGAAACATTTTAACTGGGGAAAACACTGGATCATTGAAGACACCCCCTCGCCCCATCCCCAGGTAACCCCCACTCACAGCACAGCAAGAGCAAAATTAACTCAGCAAATAGTGCTCGCACTGCAAAGCTGTTGCTGTGCACAGATGACAGTGCACTGCTTGCTCTTTTGTTCCGTCATTGAAAGAAAGATGCTAAAGGAAACCCTGGGAGACTAATTTGAAGTTCACCTTTTGTTACACAGTTGCAGACTTGATTTTTTCAATCTGTTTAATCAGTGTCAAGAGTCTATCCCATAAGAAATTAGAGCAAAAAAATGACTTGACATATGGAATAATTGCTTTGTGCTTAATCTGTAATGATGACGATACCCAGACCCCACCTTTGCTGACGGAGAGATTCTGGGTTGCAGAAGGGCCGTACAGCTGATCTGCTGCTATTCAACTTACAACAGGACGAGAAACTAATTATTTGTTTTCCCCTCTCCCTAGAGAGACCATCCTTCTCCCTGGGAAGAGTTTACTTGCAGGAGGATACCAACAGTCACTCCTTTACTGCATGAAAGCAAACCAGAAATGCAAGGTTTTGTCTGTTGTACGTTCAACTGGAAAAGGAAGCAGAATTCCTATGGTATGTATCTAGCCCCACTCACCATTACATTGATTTATTCTGAGCAAAGATGGAAACTGGACTGAGGGGGAACAAGCAGCCCTGTTGCTCGACTGGGATGTCATCCTGTCCCCAGACTCAGTCAATGCCAGGCACCTCTGCTCAAGGTGCTCTCAGGGGTGCCAGGTAGGATCAGCTAGGGAAGGCCTCTCTGGCAGAAATGGGACAGACAGCAAATCAGCCTCTGAACTTCCAGCACAAACCAGGCTCCACACAAAGGAGTGGGGTTTTTTGAGACAAAGAGGTGAAAGAGGGGGGCTGGGGGAAGGATGCCTCCATTTTTCTTCTTTAAACAGCAGCACCATCATTTCTGGATACAGCCATAACAACAGATCTATTTGTATCAGTGCCTACAGCTCCCCGACAGCGGAAAAAGCTGGGTCAGCAGATCAATGGATGCTACACACATTTCAATGAGTCTGAAATTGAGAGTGCTGTAGTGCTATCAGGTGAAAGGCAGCAGCAGAGCTCAGCAGACTGCATCAGAATTCAAGGATACCAACTCTGATGAAGCACAGAGCTGTGTTCAGCCACTTACTGCGAGTGCCTGCGTAGTGTTTCTCTCTATGGAGAGAGAGGCAAGAGTGGTCTGAGACCTAATTTGTATAACAAGCTATTTAAGAAGGAAGCTAATTGAAGTATACAAATCCTGAAGAGTACCACATCGAGCCAAGATACTATTATTAGCCCAACCTAGATGAGGTTATAAAAGTGCATTAAAAAAACCTAAATAAAAAAAAATTAGTAGGAAACATTCCCCACTTAAAGATCCCATGAGATAAATTCTCTCAAGCAATGATTATCCAAAATAGTAAAAAAGATACACTAAAAATGGGTGTGAAGGTAGAGAAGGAAGGCAGAAAAAGCACAGGTTCACCTAAATGGGTCACGACTTGTTCCTGACGTTCACTGTCAGTATGTTTTAGAGATGAGAGAGAGCCAACTAACAGAGCAGCAGCTGAAAGTTAAATTAAACTCTAATTCTGCAACAAAATTATTATTTAAATTATATGCTACTTATGTAAAAGTTTTATGTAAAGTTAACTGACCCAGAAGCATTTTCAGCAGTGTCCTCTGATAAACTCTGGTCATACAACACCCATTTAACCTTACAGAAGCAGTTTCTTACAGTAAGAGTTCAATCAAGCTACATGGAGAGACAACAGCTTTAACACAGTTTACGCTGCATGCCCTGCAGAGTACATCCACTTTAAGGTCTTCCTTCTCTAATTTTGAAGCTCAAGCTTCACTTGGAAAGAAAACAGAACTTACTGCCAGATTCCTTGAGTCAATTCTCTGAAGATAAACTAGCACAGTCCTTGACAGGGAAGGGTTTTGCTTTCTTTGAAAGAGAATCCTTTGTGCCACGCTGCCACTTGGAACGAGACTTTCAGCATTCCCTCTTCACATGCTGAGAGCAAGTGGAGGTACTTTCTTATGCTGCTCAAAATGTGGTACCATTTACTTTCAGCTCAAGCAATATGAATATATACCTGTATTTTACTGAAATGAAAGAAATGTAGTTAGCTAAGGTCAATCAATCTAGGAGACATCCATATCCAAATATGATGTGCTGGTAGGCAGCATCTCTCCATTAAGGCAGTGTCTGAATCCAAGTGTTACATTACAGGTGCACTCTGTACCACACTGTGGAGACTCTCCAAGCAGTTCAAAACTCCACAGTCTTTTTAGCCATATTTTCTGTGGTAAGACTAGAAACCCACAAGAAAGCATTATTTCAGCCTCCTGCTTGCACATGATGTGGTAAAACATGAAAAGGCCACTATGCTTCACGTGTAGTTTGTAACCCATCGTCATGTCCTTTTCTTGAAGTCAGGCTTGCCTTCCTCTTGCTTTTAGGTTGCTTTTCAGAGTGTGGTAAACTCAGTGATTCCACAGACACTGAGGAGCAGGTACTGGGTAGTTCTGCTAATACAGCAACCTTCATGCAGCCTCATGCACAAACTAACCAGACTAATTTCAGGTCTACAAAAATAAAGTGCAGTCTTTGCTAACTTTGTCTTAAAGCTTATTGCCTTTGCATAGGTCTTAAAGAACTAAGGGGACACATGCAGAATTATCAGCAGTAATTTCCCTTCACCCTTTTTGTGTGAGTAAATAATATAAATCCTGTACCTCTGACAGAGGTTTTGTCAGCGTGCCTTCACCTGGTTTAACAGTGATCACAGGCAGTGCTATGCTGCAGAACAGCTTCACAGCAAAAGCTCATGTTTAAAGTCAAGGGAAAGGCCAGTTTGCATTTTCAGTATAAAGCAGTCATTTACTTAAAGAAAATCCAGGGAACCCAATTCAACTCTGCCTCTTGTGAAGCAAGAGATTATTGCACTAAGGTCACAAGGAGTATTTATATTCTTAAGGGCAGATTATTTTTTACGTTAAGCAGCTATAAGTATATTTGAGAAAGAAATACATACACACACACACACAGAGGCATATAAAAAACCCAAATCCAGTCCTTACACAGAACTTAGCCAGCCAACATCCACAGAAATAAAAAAATACACATACACAAAATATGAAATCCAAATAACTCTTTTAAAAATGCAAGTAGCGTCCTCCTAGATTGCCTCATTAAGAATTAAGTTAGATTGCAATCATTTGCCATCTTCATTTATTCTCTATAAATAATAAAGCAGAGTTATTCAGCTTAGAAACAGCATGCTTACCTTTGCAGAAGACATAACCTGGACATTTTTAATATGACCAAAAAACCCCACCACAATACAAATGTGATTTCCACATCACTACGTCAACAGAAACACAAGCAAGCTGACATACAGGGATAGGTAGAGGGCAATGGCCAATACTCATTAAACTGAACATGCCAGTGATTCAGTTGGTTCAGGCACTGACATTTTTAATACTGATAAAAATAGTTTCACGTAAGCTGGATGCCAGAGACTTGTTTGGAGTAAATCACTTCAAACAAGCACTTACAATTTTGGTATGGGCCACCAGAGCACAGTAGTTACACAGAACTTTTATTTATAGGTATTCCCGCTAACATAGCGTTACCACAAAAAAGCTTTGGTTTATATTCATAGTGTGAATAAGAAAAACCTAGAGAAATGGAGAAACATGCTAAGCAAGACTGTTATTCTCACAAAGTGTTACACTGTTTGCAGTGCAGGTAATTTGTTCTCTGGAAGCTAATGGAGGCACAGCAGCGAAGGCAGCTGCAGGCAGGTCCTCCTCCTCACGTCCAGTAGGCTGTAAAATAGCAAGTTTAACACTGATAAACAACACTACTGAAATGCAGTGAAACTTAAGTGTGCTTAAATTTCCAGTTTCACTCAACTAGCCAAAAAACACCCTCAAACAGCAAAAAGGTTGCCTGTTCATTTCACTCACCTACAGACGCACAAGTTAACACTAAAACAGTTGGCAAGTTACATTGACTACTATAAAAACTGAAAACCCAGCGCTCATTTCAATCTAAAACGGCTTTTAAATCTGAACCCGATGTGAACAGCCCTCCCCAGAACCCCAACCAAACAAAACAGCCAAAACCCAACAGCATCACAACCCAAACCGTCGCTAGCATTCAGTATGGGCATCTTCAGATTTCAGGGTTCACTGGGTTTTCCTGATCCTAAGCATTGTCTTTGTTAGAAAATGGAAGGAAGCAAAGTACTCTGAACGCAGGGAAACAAGAGTTTGGAGATGAAGCAAATTTATTGTTCCAAGTGTTGAAATTAGGGAGTATTTTAAATCAACAGCCACACACTTCATGAAAATCCAGCTAGCATGAATGAACACATCTGGGAAACCCTTAAATAAGTTTCAAAGCTATTGTAACACGGTCTGCATGTATCATAGAGCCTTGCAGGTAACCCATGGTTTAGAAAATCAAAGATGCCCTCTGCGTAAAGGACAGGCAGAGAACAACTTCACTGAGGTACTAGTCCCATTTTTTTTTTCAGGCAAATTACTGCATAGATATCTAAGGTTAAGGAGTTCTGACATTTTTCTAAACAGCTTTTACAGCATCATAAGGTAACATAATGAAAATACATTGTATTTGAAACCAAAAAGCAGCATATTAGACATGCACTGGTAGAAAACATCCTGTGTGCAATCTGAGATGTTAAAAGTACCATACACAGCTTGGATGTTAATCTAAAAGCATACTAATTTAATTTGACTTCATTTTTTGGTGGGAAAAAAAGTCTACGTGGTCTTATTCATAAAAATGGAATTCTCAACATTCAGCTGTGGTGGGTATAACACAAACATACAGAGTCTTCGTGTTCAAGTTCTTCATGGAGATGTCCTTTGTGATCTCTGAGCCAAGAAAACAAGAAACAGAACACGGTTAGTGCTCTTGCTTACAGATAAAACTATCAGCACTTTTATTTTTCTTTATTCAGACAGTTCTGCTGGTTCCATCAACATGGGACTAGGATAGAAACCACCCAGCTCAAAATTCCCTCCTGTTAAAGCACGGGGCATTAAGGACAGGGTCACAACACACCAGGATTGCCACTGCAACAGCTGAAAGTGCTGTTCAAGGATACAGAGTGGAATTTTTTGAAAGCCTCTGTCTGCCCACAGCTCCCAGCTTCACATCCACACAAAACAGTGTCTAGTTCATAAAGTTATTTAATAATGCAATGGTACGAATTTCATATCAAGAACACAACACAAAGCACTGAGAACCAGAGTCCCTTATAAATGGCCACAGTAGACAGATCCATCTCCCCTAGCATCCCATCTGACAGAAGACAACGTGCGTGAAGGAGTACAAGAACAAGAACGTGCATACATTAACTGGAGTGTTGTGTGTAAAGCAAGGATTGCAGTAGTACCTGCTGGAAAACTGACGTTGCAATCTTGTCACATATGCCTAAAGAATTTCATACCGTGCCAGATCAATTCCTTAAGTCTTTTCAGAGCTATATGCACTCAGTTTGGAGCAGTAATGTATCAAGTCTCACCAACAGATCTCTTTTAAGGATACAGGATATTTCCAACAGGGTTTATGATTTATGATTCAGGGTTTATGATTATTTATTAGACACAGAATAATCTCACTTTGTGGCCACAGAAAAGGTCATCTGCAAAGTTGTTAGGAACTGGAAATCTCTTTCACTGTTCTTGTCACCAAGGAGCTGGATGCCTGCTAGCTCGATGCTTCCCACCACCCATCGGGTGTAGCAAACCTCCCCAGTAATAGAGCAGATCACTTTTATCCCAAAGCTGTACCTCGCAGTACTCCAAACCATTTGGATAACAAGTATGCCAGAGGTCTCTTACTAAGAATCATGAAAGCAGTGAGACACTTCAAAGCGGTAACCACAAATACATTCACTGAAACCAAAGCAAAACAGCATCACGGGGTCACAGACTTACTCTGCACACTAGAATTCCTACAGACAACACGAGCGAAAAAGATAAATTTTAAATTTTGGCACTAGTGTTGGCAGAAATGACAGATTAATAATGTTCAGAGTGGTTTTTCAGTAGAAACGATTTGGTAGCGTGCTGCAGTGTGTCACAGGACTGATGCCTGATATTCACACCGCTCTGGCTCGACCAAGGCGCTGTGCACGTGGTGGGGGAGAGAAGCCTGTGAAGTGCATCCATGGAGATAGCGTCAAAGCGGTTTAGTTTTCAGTAACGTCATGTCCAAGTGAAAGCTGATTCCAGAAAAGGCAGCAAGAAGTTTCGAGTCCATGTAACAGTATGGACGCTCCTAGCATTAAGGCCCCCATCTTCAAAAACTACTTCACTTTTAGCTGAGCAGATATAGTGTGCAAAGTTTAACAGCCATCTATTAATTAAATAATGAAGAAGCCCGTATCGATCATGATGTTACTGTTTTTAAGGAGCTCTCTTCCAGTGCAGTGCTCTGCCTTGAGCAGCTGAATAACCATTTACAGAACTACAGGAGTGGAGGTATAATCCAATTCAGCAATTAGGGCTTTATTCCCTCATTAACCTTCCTTCCCTCCCCATGAAAATGGTCTGTCAGTATGTTAAAAAGTTATTTTGGCCTGCAGAAGCAGCCAAACAGACTACGAATTTGGTCTCAAAGTCTTTTTTCTAAATGATTTTACTTTTTAAATCCTGAACAGTTAGGAACTACACAAAGCTACTACTTTCAACAGTATTTAAGATAATAATTACTATTAGAAATTGGAAACTTGATTTCTCAGGAAAATGTAAGGACATCCTCCTTTCTGTGCCAGTTGCTCCAAAGGAAGGCTTTGAAGAGAGCTCATGAAGAAGCGCTGCCTTCATCCCAAACGCATCTCTGCATCAGCCCTGTAACCCGCGTTTCAGTCTCATGAATAAGCAACACTCACCACTTTGGCATTTATTTTTTGGAATACTGGAAAACCATTCTATGAGAGGTGAAAAACATTTGTTTCAGAAAGGCTGGCAAGCTTTTGTGCAATAAACAGCAGATGCCCAACTGCTGTACCTGACACCATGTATAAAAATAGTATTTTCAAAACCGATAACTCCTTTTCCCCCAAGTGATTGTTTTTCTTTTCTTAAAACAAGCAGCAATCTTCCAATTCATGGCCTATTCTCAAACTTTTCAAATGGTCAACAGCAAATAACTTGCTTTCTTATTTTCAGAATAAACCGTTAAAAACTAAACTCAAGAGACTAAACTTTTTGTTTTGAAGACAGAACCTCAAAATACAGCGATAAAAAGATGAGGAGGAGATTACAAAGGTGCAACAATACATAAACATTAATTGAACTGATGTTTTCCAGAGGTATCAAAATATTTGTTTGATATGCAGCACTTGTTTATCGTATAAAGAGATGTGAAGATGTGAAGAATGACCATCTCAGTGTTTATACCATTAAAAACGTTATTAAAAGAGCTGCATGGTGAGAATTAAATCTGAGATAGCAGAAGCAGAGCTATATGGCATAAGCATGTGATAGCTACACAAATGAAACTCCAGGACCAAGTTCTCTACATTCTGAGTCCAAGAAAAGACCAAAGGAGTTGTTTCAGCCTTTGAAGAGTTATCTAATCTGATCTTTCATACCATCATGAATTGTCACTTCATCCACTTTAAATTAAGTTCAAGTAGTTCTGGAGAATTCATACTACAAATACATTACAGTGATTTCCTGTTTAGGAAAAGGCATTTGAGAAATCCTCACTTAAATCGAGACTTAAAGGCTACTCATTTTCCTGTTTGGTCAGTTACTGCCCTCTTTCAAAGCTCAGAAGTTTTCTACGATAGTTACTTCAGTACCGCAACTGAGCCATACGCTGCTGTGAACACTTTTGTCCTGTAACAGAGACACCAAAGCAGAAATATGTATAACATCAGCTGTTCCTGAATGGCTGGACTCCTCATCAGCAAGGTTTTGCACATAAGTACCTTTTCATTATTATTGATGAAAATGAGGTGTGGTTGATATTCCTGGTCCTTCCACCTTGTGCTGTTTTAAACACTGCAGTCTCCAGTTCTCTCTGTTTGTTAGCACCGCTCAGCACGTTGTTTTTAGCATTAGCTCAAACTATCACTAGAAAGTCTCATTTCATGTATATGAAATTAAAAAAAACCCCAACAAACCACCAAAAATCCACAGCAAAAGAACCCACACCTTCCTCACTCCGATTCTAACCCATCCTACTTAAACCCCTCTAAGCCAGGTGCTGAGTGACCCCAGCTTTAGCCAGCTATGCTCCTCCTCCCCTCAGCAGCTGATGGGCACCTCCAGAAGAAATACATCCCATCCCAAGATTAGCTAACCACTTTAAACAAGATGCCCAACTTCTGGACAGGTAACCTAACATGCGATATGGTTACGTTTCATGTATACCTCGTAAATCACGCCACTGTGATAAACTGGAGACAGAATCCTTTGCATCATTTCATTCAAAGAGCTGAATTTGCCTGAATACACAGAAATACCTGGGGTTTTTTTACTGTGTGGTTTCCAGCTCATTCTTGTCAAATGAAGTCCCAAATCTTTCTCAGGTCCAACTTTTTGCACTACAAGTGGCTACATCTTTAGTCTTATCTTCCTCATGAATCAGAGATGTTTGTTTCTAAGCCTCACCACCTGCCTGTGGTTTTGGAAGAGCCTTTAACATTTCAGATGTGTGACTGTGATAAGGCTTCCCACTTCCCAGGTATTCCGATTGAGTCGCAACTGCAGTACCCTACCAAATCTGACCTACTCACACAACTCTAATACAGATCCAATATTCTTTTCTATCCACTCCTATTGCCCAAAAGGAAGGAAAAAGAACATTGCAACAATATTAGTGTAACAGGAACAATTTGAACAGGTTCTTAAAATATTCAGAGTTCAGACCCACTCACTCCTAGGAGGAGATTCACACTCTCTACTTAGTCACAGCAGCATGTAACTGCCATTCACATTGCTGACTGACCTCTCCATTTCAAAAGGAAACTTTTACTTGTCTTGGCCATTTCATGAAGGGAATGCATTAGAGCTTTGAATTTCTAAATGTATATGTGTGCTTACAGGATTTTATTAAATAAGTATTGAATTACTGGGCAAAATTAGAAAGCAATGAGTAAATAGGCATTTTGTAGTTAAACTGGATCTCAGGCTACATTAGCTGCTCCTCCACAAAAACTTCCAATAACACTTGGACAAGCAAACCAAAAGTTTGTGCTTACCCTGAGTTTGTGCTTCATCCAGGAACAATTTTAGCCTCCTGCTTCTGAGCCCAAAAACTTTTGCTGTTTCACGTAGAAGACCTTGGTACGTTAATCCATTCTGACCGACAGGGTTCTCCATGAGAAGAGTTCCCACTGTTCCTTTCTGACATTCTGAACAAGATAAACACTTGGATCACTATTGGTGAGGAATTACAGAACTTCATTAATCTTGGGACATTGAAATTTAGGATTTCTTCTTCCATTTCATCTCTGTTACTTCTGCTGAGTAATTGCCAATACCAACCTACTTACAGATACTCACTAAAGTTCACAAATTACAGAACCATAAGTGATTATTAACAGCTTAACAAACAAAAGAAAACTGCAGAAGTCTTTACATGGGGCAAAAGGATAACCTGGAGACTGCAAAACATGAAACATCTCAACAGCACACACAAACCACTAACAGTTAGAGAAGCTCACAAGGCTCCTTCCTATTATCAAATCCCCAGTTAAAAACCCACTTTTGGCCCAAGTAGGTACCCAGTAGCATCAATAAGATTCCCCATGAATCAGTAAGATTCCCCAGTGCAGAAAGGACTCTGCCCTGGCATACAAGTGACTAACAACATAGCTTTTTCAGCGTGAGGTTTTAAAGAAGAGACAAGAACAGCAACTGTGAAACAGAATTACATGCACATATCTAGACTCCAGATCATGTTAATAATACAATTCATCTGGCTTTTAAATAGCACTAAGAAATGTTTGACAGGCTGCTTCCAACGTCTTGGTAAAGAGCTGACTCCTCCTTCATTTTTGGTCAGGTTTATACTCAGTCTTTTAAAATAAGCTGTACAGGAGAGCTGACGGTCAGAAATAGGGAAACAATGCTGAAGGGCTCATGTTTAAACGCTGTCCCTTATCTCAAACTGGCTCTCCTTTTTGTTGTTCTTATTAGAAAGCAAATACTAGGAAACAATAAACAAAAGTCACCATCTACCAGGGAAAATATATGTACTTATCTTCATCGGCAAGCTACGGTGTCCGTAACTTGTATCATGCAAAGCTCAGCCTGTAAATGAGGAGAGATCGATATCCGACATACCCTGTGGTTTTGCATTCATTAACTGCAAGTTGATATACTGGCAGAGCAGAGCATCAGGAGAGCTGAGCAGAGCAGGTGCTGGCCCTGTTGTCACATGTAGAGTCTTTCCGCTGAGACTAAGCAAGTCAGTTTTGTTTAGCAGTTCTGAAAAAGAAAACGAGACTGGTCAGGCCATTACAGGGAAGCAGAGGTCTCGTCCTCACTCGATTAGCTGACAAGGCAGCTTTCTAACCACCGATCCCACCGAGGAAGCATTTCCTTCTTGGCAATTCCTGGCTCAGGAGAGAGCACTTCTCCATTTTGAAAAAGAGAATTTGTGCAGAAGTATTTTGTTATCTTAACAACACAGAGTACTTAATCTGCTGTCGAAATTAGCTCCTATGTGACATTTCTTAAGCACATAAATATATGACATGATTGCTTACACAATAAAAGTAGTTAAAGAATGTAAAACAAGCAAGAAATCACTCATTTAAGCCAACATTTCTATCTCATTAAATGGAGACCTACGATCTTTGCCTCTACCCTGACTTCGCTGGCTGGAGCAGCACTGGATACTATCGCTGTGCAACATCAGGCCAGCTCCCTCATTGAACTCCAGACGACAATAAATGCCCATCAGTGGCTGGTTAGCTTGTGAAGAGCACCCTCTGCGTTAACGTTTGTGTTTAATGCCAACAGTAGCTGACGGTTCCGCAGATGACTCCAGCCATGCAGAGTTAGAAAACGGTGGAAGATCAGACCCAAAGTAGGACCCACGTCTCCAAGGATTTTAGAAGTTTTATCAGAACTCTGAAAGCGCTCAGATGAGAAGCTAATGAGGTTTCTGTAATTAATACAAATGAAATGTGTACGACTGCATTCTGCACTACCTACATGAGCATCTGCCTGTCTGTCACAGAGGCAGAAAAAGCTGCTGACAGCCACAACATTAAAGATACAGAGAAAGAACATCACTCTGCTACAAAACAACTCCAAAGACCCAATCCAGGAAGAATTAATAAATATAATTTCTTGTAAGAACTGTGCGCTGCCTGCACATACAGAACAGGCACATCCATCATCTCTTTCCAACAGGTTTTCATTCCCTATCAGCCCTACTCGCGTGTCACGGAGCCTGTGCTTTACAGAGTTCATCTGGATGAATTTCAAAGGGGCTGAAGTGGCACTCCTTTGTCCAAGAATGTTTTCAAACTCCAAAAACAGGAAAAACGCCCCACAAAACCAAAAGCAACAACAACAACAAAGTGAAAAGTAATCACAGGCTACAAGCTCTCAAAATTCTGCCAACTGCCACAGAGCATCGGAGCGCGGTGCAGTGTGGAAGGCTTATGAGATTGCTCAAAGGAAGGAAAAAGGCTTCCCTTATCTACCCTCAGGCTGCATCTACAATTCTAAAATTTTAAAACTCAACTATGAAAAGTTCTAAAAGCACAACTTCCTAATTGCTTCTAACATTCAGTTTAAGAATGAAGAGTTTATGATGACGGTGGCCATCTGCCAGCTACCCAACCACTGCTTTGGTATGGGAGGGGGCTTTGCTTTTGGTTTTACTTACAGGACAGCAGGAAAATAACTCAATTAAGAAGTGGAAAGGAATTAACACGATTTCATCACATGGAGAGGGAATCCCCAGCAGGTCCTCCCTAGCATAACCCTTGGCACTGCTTGCCACTTACATACAACTGGGTCCTGGGTAGGGGACAGCACTCGTGAGCAGGGTGCTTCAATGAGCAAGAAACTCACGGCTCAGGGAACCTTGAGTTTGACATCTCCTGTGCAGACCTACACAAGGCAACAGGGCACCAGCTGCAGTCATGGCAATTTGCATATTTAACAAAGGTAGCAATTGGCATTACAGGACCGCTGGCATTTTCACAAGGAAGAGCTCACAAACAGTGCTGTCAATGGAGTCAGTTCATAGAGCACTCTAATAAGAGCAAGAAAAAGGTGGATCATTGTTTCATATATAATGATACACTTAAAAACAAGCACATATTGTAAGTGTTCATCAATATTAAAATTGCTCTTAAAGTCGGGTCTCCCTGCAGCTGAGATTTAAGTGGTGCTGCTCTTCTAAGGTACCTTACAGCTTCATGGCCTTTTAAAAATTAAAGATTTAAAAAACTTTTTGTACTCTTGTTCGGAAAACAGTGCTGAGAATAGAATTTAAAAAAAATACCCATCTGAAAATCATCAAGATGACAAAAGATGCTGACTAAGAAGTTTGCAGGGACATTTTTGCCTCACCTTCCTCCCCCACTTTTTTAATCCTGACATGATTTGCAGCTTCATTCATTCCCATGAACAGTATTTTTGTAAACAGGTCTCTTTCTGGGCTACTTCTGTGCAAGTAGAGTGCAACTCAAAAAAGCTTTCCCAATAAGAAGTTTAGAAAGTTTCCAACTTTACAGCAATCTAGAGCAAAAAGGAAGTCACAGACAACTGTTTTTGACTGAGGCCCAGTGTCTTTCCTTTAAGTATTTTTTTATTTTAATGTAAAAAGAGACAAATTCTCAGTTTCTGAAGATCAGTACAAAAAAAAAACGAGGGACAGGATGTATTTTAGCCTGCCTTAATACAAAAACTACCTGATTTGGTGCCATTGCACAACCCTAAGTAAATCCTTATTACAACTGGATAACAAGATAATAAATTACTGCAAGTAAAGTGGACAGCCCTAAAAACCACAGGAAGGAAAATAAGGAGCCAGAAATACAGTTTTACTGGGTCACAATTTTATTAACACCCATGGGAACAATTCAGCAACAATTTGTCTGGAGTGCACGACCTTTCTTTGCAATTCCCCTCGGATGGAGCGGCTGATCCCAAGCCCCTGCCATACGTGAAGGGACGCTGCAATCACCATCAGGCCTCACCTAACATCACCCGTGCAAGGGCTGGGCAGATAAATCAAGCAGAGGAATTTCAGTTCTATTCTCTACCATCTTTAAGAGCTGTTTTCTTTGTACACTCCTTCAACCCAAACTCCTCAGGAAGTGATATTTTCTGCTGATCAATACTTGGAGATCTCTGCCAAACTGCAACAGAAGTGAATTTGATAATCTGATCTTTCCAAGGGAATTTTCGTGTTGTTAAGAAGTGGCCAGGAGGGAAAAAAAACCAAACCGCTCTGGCCAGACCACTTAGCAGTGAGTCAAAGTGTAAAATCAGCACGGCAAGATGGAAAGTCCCAAAATGAGACTTTTTCAGGAAAAGCCACATTGAAAGGAAAGAAATAAAGTTGTTGTTCCTATGGCAGGAAAGAACCACTGAAGAACAGGTAGGGCTTAGGTTTTCTTTACTGCTTCCCTTAGGAATTCAGCATCAGTAGACTGACACTGTGCCCTTTTGTCCTGTTAACAGCAGAAAACAACCCAAATACCAAGTCAAGCTGCTCATAATCTTAATGAGATGAGAGTTTCTCAACTCTTCTTGGCCTTTTTTTGCAGGTTCTCTCTTAACAACTGTTCTGAATGAATCGTAATGTACTGCAGTGCACCAGTACACACCCGCCTCTGCAGGCACACACCACTCTGCTGTGAAGTGTATCACCAGTATTTGGAAGATTATTTCAAGGAAAGTATTTCCTCTTTTAAAACATAAATGAAACCTAAGGAACATACTGTGGGATCCAGAATTTCCTATAATCTGTAACTGAAAGCAGACAATAATAATTTTGTATGATAAACTATTCAGTTCAGTTGGAAAGAGGTTTATCCCAGTAAGGTAAGTGTATTAAGTCCAATATGAAAAGCCCCAAAACATTCTTCTAGAAATCCTTTCAGGAAAAGACAATTAGGAAAGCTAAAGATTGAGCTGGGAACAGTGACGTTACAGACGCAAGAATTTTTGCAGTGTTCCATCATTTCTGTGTCCCTCATTTCAGACTGAATACGAACGGTGTGGAAACAGACCAAGTTTTAACTTCAAGACGTGCCTGTAAACTCTCAATCCCTATCACAGCATGGCCACTACAAGCACTTCGCTTTCTGTACTCATGTTTGGTGTCATCTTATTTGTCGTGTGCCAATTCTTAAGTTGTACCTTTGCATTGAAATACTGTACTGGATGTAATAATAAAACAGCATCTTCACCTCAGGGGAGAAAGCCAGTTTGCTGGTAGTCACTAACTGCACCATCTTTCAGAGTGTTTCAGCTGTGTTATCTTTGTAATGAACAAAATTATGCTGTAGCCTGTAACTCTGTACATAATGCATAGCCAATACTTTACATTCTCCTGCCTTAACAAAGGCCAAGTTCAAGCTGCTAAAATATCCCATCTTTTTTTTTCTAAAAAGAAGTAAAGCAGAGATCCTGAAGTTTCTCTAGAGTGAAAAAGCAACATTTTTTTCCTCTACAGACAGCTGTTGGCATTCGGTTTAAATTCTCACCCTGCCTACTGAGGCATTAGATGGGGGGAATAAAAAGCAGCTGATGGCAGCCAGCCATCCATATACAGCATTGCCTGGACCCAATGGAAACGCTTTCTGAAATGAATCAGATTTTGTCCTGATGAGAACTGCAGTGGAAAGAAGGTAGCAGATGAGCATCATTTAGTAGCAACATTTGGAAACATTTTGATGCTATAAACGGAGTCTCATAAGCTAAGTCCTACAAAATAGAGTGTTTCCTTATGCACCTTCTTGTCGATTTTGCATAGAGATACACACACACACACACACACACACACACACACCCCCCCCTATATAAATTGCCCAGTAAATAACTCCTAGCTGCTGCTAGAAAGACCTTCAATTTCCCTTCTCATACTCCATTTACCTGTTTTTCCATTAAAAACTGTCAGTTTTGAAGTTTTAAGACCAAAAATGCAGGAGACAGCATCTACCAGTCCAGCGAAGTTCAAAGTGTTATCTCCTTTTGGGTTTTCCAGCAGCAGCACACCATCTGAAAACAAAATTAAGGAATTAAAATGCACTTTGGAAGCAACATCCAAAGTTTGATGATTTTCGAATGACTTTTTCTAATTACTTCCAGGGAGTTTTTAAGCTAAGGTCAAACTGGCAACACTGCATCTTCCAGGCAATTTTAGTAAGAAAAGCAAAGAGGATAGAAAACAAGAAAACCAACTCAAGTGTGCTTCAGATTTAGTGTGGAAAATGTATTTGGTTTTATTAGCAAAGCAGTCAAATGTTTGTGTCACTGAATTATAATGCAGAACGCTATTAATTAAAATCTGACAGCCTGTGTGCCCATGTTAAAGACAAACATTACATAAACTGTAAACATGTGTAGGAAAATAAATTCCAGAGTGCATTTCGTTTTCTCCTTTCAATACATAACTCAACCTTGTAACGCTTAACAGTCTCACTACATCCATCTTTTCATTATCATTATATTCTCTAGATTTAAGTACCTTTTTCAGCTCTGTACTTAATATCTAAGGTGTTCAAATCTTCTATCTCCTCCACAAAACGACACCACCTACATTTACAGAATCAAGAATCAGGAATTCTCAAGGTGCACTCTTGAGATGGGTGAACGTGCACAGGTAAATATCAAGCGTGCACACTTCCCTGTGGATATTTATATATAATATAAATAATTCATGTACACACCTGAGTATTTACTTCAGGTCCACATCAGAAGACGTCACGGACAATATCTGGTTTTGCTTTTCATAAACTTATATTCAGGAAGGACTGAAAGCTGCTGTTGGAAGGGAGTTTGCACCACCTTTCAGCCAAGTTCGTGCTGTACATTCATGGCACCTTTTTCCACACAATCTCTTACCACCACCAGTAACAAACCAAAGCCAGTACGTTCCTACCTTGCTCTGTCCCGTTGACACAGACTTTGAGGTTCACGTAGGCACAGGCTGGACCGACACACTGACACAAACCACCTCTGACGAGAGTAATCTCTAGCTCTGATCCCTTCAGCTGAAGGAAGAGGAATATTATGATTATTTAAATATTGTTTTATTAAACAAACACCAAAAAATATTCCCCTTAAATAAATAACATAAAGTCTTATTACACTAAACATGACTTAAAATAAAATAGCAACTTTTGCCACATTGCCCTTCAGAGACAGAGTGCTTATAATATTAATTTATCTTTAATGTATGTTAAAGATATAGCAGCATTTAATACATAAGAAAAGAAGTGAGGAATAAACAGCCTGATTTTCCCAAGTGATAAGCAGTGATGACAGCCTCCCAAAAATATACTTGAGAGAGAAAGACTCTCCCAGAGGTAAACCAGAGTCTCTGAGGACAGGACCCTGCTCTCGTTGCTGCCTGCAGAAGCCTTCATCTGTCCCCAGGGCCTCCTTGACAGCCAGTCAGCCTTTGTGAGTGTCCTCCCATCCACACGTGGATCAATTAAAACACCAAACACCCCAACAGGAAACCAAACAAGTATCTTCCTTTGCAACCTTGAGAGTCTGCAGCAATACTACAGAAACAAACTGACTTTGTAAGGGCATCAAACCCCAGGTTTAAGGCTGTGCTGTTCCAAGCACGGGTATTTGCCTGAAGTAAAGGCTGGAATTACTCCTGCAGTTAGGTCAGTTTTCACAAGGATCACATGCTAGAAGATCTCTTAATTACAATTTGTAATTAAAAAAGTGTCAGACAGAAATCACTCAGATGAACAACTGACACTAAGTGGGCATTTAGGCCAAATTCTTCGTGAATTTAGAGATGGTCTTTGGAAAGAGTTACAGTCCAAAGGGGGGTCAGCTCAAACTCTGGAGTGCTACTCTTTGATGCGCTCCTGTTACAAACTCGAGAAAGACACTTACAGAGCAGCAAATCTCACTTGGTGCTCCCCCAATTCTACCAGCAATTACAAATGCGTTTTTCAAGTAGCTGCTTTTCCTCCCCAGCATTTTCTGAGCAACCGCTGGGTTTTTTGTTGCTGTTGTCTTTCAGAGCGAGTCTTTGAAAGAAAAGTTCATAATTAAAGCCTTGTATCACAGATTGATCCAGGAGAATTTCACAGAAATAACAGTCCCGTGTGTAATCAAAATAACTGCAGAAAAGACAGACTGGATTTCGTTTTTGTCACAGTCTTCACATACATTCAACATCACACAGACCTGTTGTTCCTTTTAATGTCTTCCAGAAATTTGGTGCAATGATCCAGTCATAGTTGATTTAACTTAGAAACTCACATGTGGAACTACACCATTCATTCCTTTAACTTGCACCTGCTTTTACATCTGAAAAATCTCTATAATCATCTCTATTATCATTACTGTAAAGCATTTTCCATGCCAACGCTGCTTATCAGCCCCCACCAACAAAAGAGAGCTGATGCAGAATTCAAATTGAATTCAAATCTTCATAGTCTTTATGCCTGAAACCGCTGTAGTACAAACCACAACGCAGTCAGGACTAATAAAGACACCAAACCGTAGCCGCGGCTGGCGGCCCCCACTACAAAATCATCTCTATTATCATTACTGTAAAGCATTTTCCATGCCAATGCTGCTTATCAGCCCCCACCAACAAAAGCTGATGCAGAATTCAAATTGAATTCAAATCTTCATAGTCTTTATGCCTGAAACCGCTGTAGTACAAACCACAACGCAGTCAGGACTAATAAAGACACCAAACCGTAGCCGCGGCTGCTGCACCCAACTACAAATTCATTGCACACAGCTGCACTCAACTCTCCACAAAGGGCCAGACTTTGACTCTGAAAGCATTTCTAAAGAAGGGCTTTTTCATGTCAGGTATTTTTATTCCCTGTTCTTAACATGACAGGCTTGTTGCAACAGAACACAGCGTACGGGGTCAAACGTCTGCCCTAAGCAATCCATCTCCACAGCCTCAGGAAGTGGCACCTTCCATGACTTCACACTAAAATCCCAGTCACCTGCTTCTCTCTGCAACCTCTATTGTGAGGTCTAAGCCTACGACCAACAACTCAGAGGCACAGCACGCCTGTACGCGCAGTAACCATCTCAACGCACAGAGGGCAACCCAGAGACCACAGATTGACTCTGTAGGGAGGTACTTTGTAGTGACCGAGACTCCATAAAGTAAAATAACCACAAACAAGTCTGCGTTTACTTACAAAGTTTTCCTATGCCTCCATTTACCACACAAACTGTTAAGCTTCAGGACACAGAAGTTGCAATAACTCCCTGCTAATGGTTTTGTTGGGAAAAACCCCACAGCCAAGATTGTGAGCTGACAGGGAGGCACTCTCAGCTCTGCGACCATTGCAAGGTTATTACATTTCTATAAGCTTGGTCATTGATTGCAGCAGCCACACAGAACCATCTATTGTACAGAGTCTTATTTCAGCTAGAAATGTTTAGGTTTCAACAGTCTGATATCCGACATTTGTGCAGATGAACAGCCACAAACCTCCCATCTCTGGTTTACACATTAGTTCATCATTTCCAGAACTGAATGCATGCCTGGTTTTGCTGACATCCAGACAACAGCTATCAACTGGATCCATAACAGCCTGCACCTTCTGTCAGGGCAAGATTTCATCTATACATAGACAGCATTATATAAAACTAATCCAATAAAGTCATCTTTCAGCTTTCCACAATGTTTTTCTTCACTAGAATCTGCTAAGTTAAGATGTAGAAAACAGGAAAGGAATAGTTGGGCAGAACCACACTTGGACAGGCACAAAAGCTTTTAGGGACAGACACGATGACCAACACTAAAGCTCATGCACTAAGCAGTTTCAGAGGCAGGCAATCAGACACGTGTTTCTCAGCACTACACTGCCTCTACTTTCTAATTCAGATTTCATGTTGACTTAACATCAAACTGTCCATCAGGAAGTATTCCAATCAATAACTACCTGGAAGAAATAGCACTGATTTTCACTGATTTCTCAACTATAATATTCTCCACTTTTATGTAGTGTTTTTTCCTATGTTTGTCACTAAACTAAATAGTTTTGAAAAAGGCCAAACAGAGCTTTGCTTCTAATCTGTACAACTTTAGAAGTATAATTAATTATCAGTATAAAACACTTCCTTACACATACTGGTACTGTATGAATTAAAATACAGCTGTTCTCAGACCCTCAAGCCGTTCTATAAATGAATTTTTAAGTCTGATACATCAAAATACATAGTATATATATACACACACACTGTATATAGTGTGTACACACACACACACACACACACACACAGTCTTTCTCATCTAGCATGACATTTAGATTGAAGAATATTTCATCCAAAATTCTGCTAGGAATGTCTTTTAAATACAGCAGGTTCGAATAAAGCCATGGCAAAAGTATTCTCAAAACATGTTGGAAGAAACTGTCCAAGAAAACAAATGAAATTGTTCAAATCTGCTACTGAAAGAATAAGCCAAGCTGCAAAACTGCACTGTTACAAAAGACTGAACTTCAACAAGCGGGAGGAAAAACATCATCCTCAAACGTGAAGAACTGGAGTTGATCTTAAGCCAAACAGCAACAATTTGGCCTCAAAGGAGAACACTGCTAACACAAAACCATATTAACTTACGGAAATCGTAGCATCACTATTTCTGCTGTCTACACAACGCAGTAATCCAAGTACAAATAACTGCGTGTACTAAGCTTACACAAACAACTACCTAAGATATTTTGGTACCCAAGCAGCTTCATTTTCAAAAAAACTACGCATACAGAGCCTGACTATTTTCTTTGTTAAACCGGAATGATTAATATGGAAGTTTATAAATATAAAAGAACATCCACTATATCCCACAGATAACTATGGACATACAGTTTTCCTGTAAATGAAGCTATTTGTTCAGATAAAAGCAGGTAACAAAATGAACTATGCAGTCAATGCTTTTTCCTCCTTACTTGAGTTGTTTCCTGGATGAGAACTTCTTTGGAGGTAGGCACTGGGTAAGGTTTCAGGGCAGCCTTTATTGTTGCAAAAATGAAATCCGTATGTTCCTTAATAACCGTATCCAGATAGTCACCTTCTGGATGTGATCTGTAGTACACCACGATCTCATCTGTAGGAACCAGATTTCGCTGCAGGATACACCAGATATAGTGTTAACGACAGCAAGACAACCACACAAACCAAACCAAACCACACACACAAACCAAAATAAAAGATACTTCTTAAGTTAAAGTGTCTTAGGTATTTACCAGACATTTCTTAAAAAACTTTTAGAACAAAACAATTCTTGTCAGGGCAAGAAAGGGGCTTGAAACATGGTGAGTTTTTCTTCAAAAGATAACGACTGAACTGCTTGAGAGAGTCCAGCAGGGCCACAGAGATGATGGAGGGAGTGGAGCATCTCCTGCTGAGGAGCGGCTGAGGGAGCTGGGGCTCTTGAGCTTGGAGCAGAGGAGACTGAGGGGTGCCCTCATTCCTGGGGATCCATTGGGAAAGGGCAGTGTCAGGAGGAAGGAGCCAGGCTCTGCTCTGGGATGGCCAATGCCAGGACAAGGGGCAATGGTCCCAAGCTGGAGCACAGGAGGTTCAAGCTGAAGATGAGGACAAAGTTTGTGAGTGTGAGGGTTATGGAGCATGGCCCAGGCTGCCCAGAGAGGTTGTGGAGTCTCCTTGTGTGGAGACACCCAAAGCCCTGGCCATGTTCCTGTGTGACTGCTCTGGTGATCCTGCTCTGGCAGGGGTTGCACTGGGGGAGCTTTCCAGGTCCCTTCCAGCTCCTCACATTCTGGGATTCTGTGAAATGCACACCTTACTCTAAATGTCTTGCTTTCAAATTCCTTCCCCAGCTCTCCCCCCTTTGTGAACTGAAAGCCTACCAAATTTACAAAAAAGCTTTTCTTGATGCTTTAATAGCATTTACACAGCCTGTTAGCCTGAAATGAAACCCTCAGCTCTTTATGAACCATTGCTCAATCAACGAGCAATGTTTTCTTAACACCCAACAGTCTCCAAGTTGTTTTGGCATTGCTTTGGAAGGTGGTGACCAGACCTCCAAGCCTTCAAAGTAGTTCTGTCACATACCATACCCACATGTACTTCAAGAAAATAGCAATGGATTTGAGTGGTTCACTTATTAATGGTGAATTATAGCAGATTTCTGCTTCCGTAAGAAAATGGTTTCAAGGAAAAAAAAATAGCAGCAATAAGAAAATTTTACTTCTAAAATCTGCTAAGAATAATAACTGTCCTAATGCCATCTCAGTAATAGTTCTTGTGGATCCAGAATCTGTTTGCCTTTTTTATTGCATGTACATCCCTGTAACAAGAGTGAGAACAAAAGAATGGCAGAACAATGCACATTAGCATCATGTGAAATATTAAGCAAGACTAAGTACTTTGATATCCATTTAAGTGAGAATGAAGTATGACCTTACATCATTACAGAAGTAAATTTAAATAATCTTCAACTTACGAGAGAGTTTTCTTTTCGTGGCCACATTCCATCCTGGTTTAATTTTATACAGATAGAAATCTGTGCAGTTTTTATATACATACTGTTTTGGTACCAAGATGTCATTTTTTGTGTACACTGAGGATTCACACAGTCTGAACTGTATGGACATCTCTTCCCAAAAACGCGCCCCATAACAATTTGCTCAGCACATCTTTTAGATTTTTTTCAGACATAAATTTGAAAAAGATACAAATTTGAGTGCATTGCCACAAAGTCAGTCGAGTAGGAAAACCCTACACGTATCCAGAAAACAAGCTGTTCCATGTTTGCAATGTGCATGAAGGGACAGGGGACTGTTTTGTTTTGTGGGTGTTTTGAAATTTGCAAGTTCTGAAACCTTTAGAATTCTCTGGACAGAGTCACACATCACTTATGTCCTCTCCAGATTAAAGGCTTTTTCGACTTGGCATCACCTCCACGGACCAGGCTTTTTTGGCACAAAGTGGAGATACTGAGTGCAGTGCTTTCTGGATTAATATTGTAGGGAGAAGGAAGTTACGTTGGCTCAAAGTGCTTTAACATAAAGGTCAGACAGCATCATTTGTATGCATGATAAGAGCAATTTAGAGCAGAATCATTAATGTAGGTAAATGAATCGGTGCCAGAAATGCCTCCTGCGGTTTGCTAAGGCAGAAGTTTGTTTCTTTTAGCAGTCCTAGCCTCAGATGTTTCAGCTTTCACCAGCCCAGCTGATATAACACGCTGGAACAGAGACAGCACAGAACGTAACGCTCGGCAGGAGGCAGGCAGGCCTAAGAGCCGCTGAACTGGGACAGAACCACTGCGGTGTGGCTGCAGATACGAAACAAGAGGGGCTGGGTAACATAAATAAATCTGTTCGTTCTCAGTGGATGATGTATCGTAAGCTCATCGTTCAACTCAAGCTACTTAGTAATATGGAAATTCACAATGAAGAGGATGATTTGTAATCATTCGGAGCAGATCAGAAAGCCATATATTAGGAGTAAATAATCCAGGGCATCATGTTTAATTAAAAAGGTCAGTTCCTGCTACATCTTTCCTGCCCAAAACATTGCTTGTAAGTAAACCAAAGCATCTCATTTGAAACCGTTGCTTCCTGACCTTTTTGCGAAGCTTCTGGATGCGATTAATCACTTCCCGGGCAACTCCTTCATCCACCATGGACTGGTCTGGGGTAACATCCAGCAGAACTAAAACCTGAGGTGATGCACAGAAGACAGTTGAACAGGTAACAAACTTGAAGCAAGCCAGTATTAACTCACTCAAGCTCAGGTACATTGTCATAGAGCTCCTCACTTACAAAATACCATGTTGAAGTGAGTACATTTTAGTCTCTCAAATTCAGAAGATAGGCTCCTGGAATATGTTGAACTAACTGAACAAACAAAACTACCTCAGCTCTCACCTCCCCATTTTCTAGAGGAACTCCTTCCCTAATTAAAAAATAAAATAAAATAAAATACAATAAAATGAGTAACTAGTGAAATACCTGAGCATCGGAATGTGCCTCAAACTGGGCAGATCCTCCTGCCACCTGATCAAAGGTGTACATGAGGCGCAGATCTTCCCCGTGGAGTTCGTGTCCTTCCACCACAATGGTGCCTGCAGATGAAGAGCATCTCTTACAATCAAGAGTGAAAATAAATAATCTTTTCAATTTGAAAAGCTTTAAACAAGTATCAGACTTCAAATACATTGAAGGCAGTATATCTGCAATACATTTAACCAGCAGCGAAGCACCACTAAGAAACACTGAACTACCCCACATTCAGGTTTTTCGTAGCAGCACTTCTACAGGCAGCAGAACTCACTCAAGCACAGACGCTTCATCAACTGTTTTGTACCATTTGAATGGCACAGAATAAAACTTAAAAATAATGTGTATACTCGACTACGTCAAAGTTTATATTCCAGCAGTTATCTGAACAGATACAGCTGGAAAATTCACACCCACTTGTAAATCTGGAGCTGAAGCACTGCCTTTACAGTAAGAACTACTGCACAACTACTTACCTCAAATTTGATTCAGTCTTACCAAACACTTTACCCTCTACTTAATTTTGGTCTTAAAATAGCACTTAAAGAGGAGAACAGTGTGAGATTGGCCACCCCTCATCTACTGTCAGCAAAACAACAAACCCCACTTTTCTCCTATTCTCATTAACGTAAAATTTAATAGGGATGAGAACAGAAGGGAGCCTAAGTCCATAGAAAGATACTTCTGCAAATGCTTGATTAATGTACACGCATCGAGTGCAATTGCTGGATTTGTTTTCTGATGAGCCAAAGGATTTCGGATCTTTTTTTGGTCAACATTGCCATCATTTGTTGGCTTGTACCACCACGTACCTGTCTCCTGGAATTTCTCCAGCTGCTCACTCTTCAGCTCTTTGATTGCAGCCATAACGGGCTTAAAGGCACCTTTCAAACGCTTCCCAAGCACCATGTGGTCTGGTTCTGCTCTCAGCCGGACTCCGTATTTATCTTTATTAGTGGATAGCGTCACTTGACGGACATTCAGTTCCTACAGAAATGCACCAAGAGAAAAAAGACGAAGCTAAAGAACAGCCATCTGAGAGCTGCGGGAAGGGGACAAAACCAGGGGCCACAGTACAAGGGATGTCTTAAAGCTCAAGCTGCAAACTTTCTATATGGTTGTCTCAATGAACCAAGTAATTTGCCAATATTGCAAGAGCAAATAAACCCAACCAATCCTGAATCTATCCTTCAGCAGAAGATCCTATCCTCTTCTTCAGCCTTTAGGTAGACATTTCGCCGTTATTAACAGACACCAGTCAGCTCTCAACTCAAATCAGATCCTTGTTCAACAGCCTTCTTGATTTTACTGTTACAACTGCCTGAAAAGAAAATTATTACTTTTGTGTGCAATGGCATTAGGAAATGGACTGACAAAATTCAGGAAGCAAAATTTTGCTGAAATTAGTCCTTTCAGTAAGGATTTAGCCAGAAAACTGTAACCGACAATTTTATGGTTTAGGTTGTATAAATGCTACTGCCTCACTTCATCTCTTTCTTTATCTGTTTATTGTAGGTTCCTACTGTACAGAAAACCACCTTGCTCTGAAAAACGTCTGCCTGTGCTCTGCAGCACCAGATCTGTGTGCCAGAGCAGCCAAAACAGGCGTGTAAAACTTGCATGGATCTCGGGGGGGTGCCAGACCAAGGATGTGACCTTGCCACTACAGAAACCTGGTTGTGCCCGCTTTTTGTAAGTAACGTGTGCAGGTTTTGTCCCCATACCTGAAGGGGAAATAATAGTGGTGCTGTGGGAGGCTTTACAGAACAACTGACCAAGGGGACAGCATTGCTACCATAAGAGGAAAGACCAAGGGCAGAACAAGCCTAAACCACTAAGTCTTATGTTCTTAATTACAGATATATTCCTCATCACCTCAGCATATTTAAAATCACCATAAAAAACCCCACAAACATTATTACCCACCCTGACCATCACACAGTGCCAAACTGGAAATACACAGCAAACCTCTCCACTCCAGGCTGAATTCTGTCCAATGAACAAATGCATTACACGCATTACTAATAACACCAAGACACGATGTCCTGGTATCCCTGCTGGATCCTGCTGTTGTTTTGTGTCTTCAAGAGGCTCTGTTTGTCTTTGTAAAGCCACATGAGAAACACACAGAAGGCAGGACTTGATACCTGAGTTTCCAGTTTCAGACGTTCTCACTCTCTATTCTTGGTGTAATGCACCAGGGACAGATCTTGGAAAGTTTTAATTGCCAACGTGCAGCTCCTATACAGAGAGCAAACCTGCTCGTATCCAGATCACATTTCCCTAGGATTCAGTAGGTTCTGTCAACCAGGCTGCCCAGTACTTGAAGCGTTTTGTGTTGAAGTCTCCACTAGAAGGTTGTTCAAGCTCACATCAACATGATACAGAATCACTGAGCGCATTTGGCAAGCAAACTACTCCCAGTCGTTTAGGAAGCAGAAGTAAATGGTGGTGTAAGCATGACAGCATTAGCAGGTAGCCAAACATTTAGACTGAGAAGTAATGCTTCAATACAACCTCTCGGCTACAGTAATTCCCTAGGAAGTTGTCCTGACAAGAATACATCTGAATCTAACTTTAGTTACTACATCTTTTAGGAAATCCAATGAAAAGCATGTACTTCAGAAATTCAGTTTTAATGGGATGCCACTGGAAATGAACCCACAAGTTGTAAATGACAACCTTGTGGGGAAAGAAATAACAATCTAAAAAAATAGCACAAGTTTAAAGATGACTTTGAGCCTTATTAGATAAATTACACAGAAGCCAACTCCATCAGGGTACGTCCTCTATACTAATTAGTTTAGGAAACCACTCTCCTCTATACATTATCAGTAATAAAAATAGAATGATTGTTTGAAAAAAGCAGGCCTGTATCTGATGTTTGTTTATATCTGCCTCGATGTGCTGCTTTGATTTCATTTTGACTTAAGAACTATTTTATCTCCTTGACACATCTTGCAAGTCTCAAACACACACACTGAGGCAGCCAGTCCTTCCCATCACCACGGATGACCTGTATATTTGGGCACTGCATGGACAAGAGCCTTTCTGCTGGTGCCATGTGCTAAACATGGTCAGATCGACCGGTACCCCAACTACAGCCAGTTCCCAGAGCAGAGAAAGAGAAATGCCAGTGCTGTGCTTCAGCTCTCTGAGCAAACATCCTACACGGGAAACAACCGAGAAACACCAAGGGACACCAGGAAACAAAATACTGAAGGACCACACGCTGCCCCAGGTCAGTCAACCCATTCCTGGACTCAGTCTCCTGCATTACAGGAACACCATTAATGGTATCAAGTACCAGTAGACCTTGAATTTGTTGAAGGGAAGTCAATTTTCAGTTTTAATACAGCCATATATAGGGGTGGAGGTTGAAGGGCATACAAAGGTTGGATGCGAATGAGATTCTGATTGCGCACAGAGTAAGATCTACTCAGAGCAAACCTTTCACTGGAAGTAGTTAGGAAGAGAAGCCTGATGCTTGTAAAAGGCTTCAAACACCAACCAATAACATGCAACTGTGTTCTGTTGCTAAAAGCCTTCTGGATTTATTTCCTTTTGTGAGCTTGGTCATTTTTGCATGACACCGCTGTACTCTCAACAGTTAAAATACTAAAATCCTTTTGCTTCAATTATTTGCCGTGTTCTGATGACAGCAGAGTAAGACTGCAGATCAAAGAACACAGCTACTCCTGAAAAGGTGATTAATGGAATTTTTAAAGAATTGACAAAGGTGGTTTTCAAATCCTTTTGTCAGCAGCTGCGTGAAGTCAAACGGTGTAATTTTTCTTACAGATTACCTCTGGCACCAGCAAATTTAGAAGAAACACACTTCCAGCAGTAACTAAATGTTCTAAAGCTCTGAATATGTAGGAGGTTGATGAACAAAGCTGCAAATACAGCCCAGTACCACCCAGTCTGCCTGTACTCATTGACCTCTTCAGCTCTGAACCATCCTAATGAAAAACAGGGCTGACTGCCATGCAGTACAATAAAGCATACACTGAGCTCCAGCATCAGCTTCTTGAATTTTAAGACACATAATAAAAACAAGACAACAGACAGTATTTTGTATCTGCGATTCCATGAAGGTATTTGAGTCTGTTGTGTCTCATCTCACCATAAAGCACCTTAGCTTTGGTCATGGTAGCAAATGGATATAAATTAAAGCATAGTTTCGTACAATCCAGTTGTGTAATAACTTATCAAACTGTTTGGTTCCTTTGTTACCGTTTATGAGCTGTAAAAGCTGGCAGCAGCAAATTTTGTCAGCTTTTTGGAAGTAATTTGAGTGTGCAAACCTCATTTCCCTTAAAACTGCATTCTGTAAAATCTACACATCCAGTTTTCAGATCAAGAAAGTGTGATAAGCACTAGCCTAAATATCACAAAATTCTGCTATTGAAAAGATCCAGGCACTGAAATTATTAATAAATAATAATAGCAGTTCTGAAGTGAAGCATCGTAATTGCCAAGTCTAGGAGAAATAATCAATAAGCTAACATGACAGAAAAGCTCTACCAATCCCACTTGCAAATTAATTAACTTGGGGTTTTTTTTAAATTAAAATTCCTTCAGTGCACAATTCTTTTGAATTTTAAGTCCCACAGCAAGCAGCACACAACACTGATCTAGAAGGCTCGGGCACTGAGTCATGACTCCCTTTAGCCAGTGCTCTTAAGTTGCCCCTAGCAAAATCTTTAGAATCACAGAATGGTTTGGGTTGGAAAGGACCTTAAATCTCCCCCAGTCCAACCCCCATGGGCAGGGACACCTCCACCAGCCCAGGCTGCTCCAAGCCCCGTCCAACCTGGCCTTGAACACTGCCAGGGAGGAGGCATCCACAGCTTCCCTGGGCAACCTGGGCCAGTGCTCACCACCTCACAGGGAAGAATTTCTTCCTAATATCCAGTCTAAATCTCCTCTCTTCCAGTTTAAAACCATTCCCCCTTGTTCTGTCACTACCTGCCCTTGTAAAAAGTCCCTCCCCAGCTTTCCTGTAGGACTCCTTCAGGTACTGGAAGGCTGCAATAAGGTCCCCCCAGGCTGAACAGCCCCAACTCTCCCAGTTTGGCCCCATAGGAGAGGTGCTCCAGACCCTGAGCATCTTTGTGGTCTCCTCTGGACCCAGTTTCAACAGCTCCATGGCCTTCTTATCTTGGAGGCCCCAGAACTGGACACAGCACTGCACATGGGGTCTCACCAGAGCAGAGCAGAGGGGCAGAATCACCTCCCTGGCCCTCCTGGTCACACTTCTTGTGATGCAGCCCAGGATGGGGTTGGTTTCTGGGCTGCAAGCGCCCATTGCTGGATATCATTGAGTTTTCCCATCAACCGACACCCCCAAGTCCTTCTCCTCAGGACTGCTCTGAGCCATTCTCCACCCAGCCTGGATTTGTGCTTGGAAGGCTTCCTTAAATGTATATGTAGGCCTGGGGAAAGATGGAACTGTTGAAGTAATACATAATGAGTTTAAGGGTCCTCTGCTGCGTCAGTCGTCTCTTGACTGACATGGGTGCTCTCTCCAAGACAAGTGAGGTGAGCTGATCTTGCTTGGGTAGAGGCAGATCTTTGTTCTCTTTGTCAAGGCAAAGCAGCTGATCTTGACAATGCCAACTTGAACTAAAAAAGTTCCATCACATTTTAAGCATGTGACGAGATCTTCTGCCGCAGAACCCTCTGAAGATCTCTCATTCAAAGGAAGAAAGACTCCTTAACCTACCAAGGACAGGGCCATGCCATTTCTGGACAAGGGAAGTACAGACGTCCTAAGGTGTTACAACACAGTAAGAATTTCCTGGAGGCAGAAATGAGACAGGGGTCCTCTGCAATGCCAGATTCAATGCTTCAGTGCTGTGGATGGAGCTGACGGAAAGGAACTGGAAGAATTCCTACATTTCCCACCCGATTACGGTACCTGGACACATAGAAACCATACACTAATGACAGCAGCTTGGCAAGTCCACTGGAGGTGAAAGAGGACAAAGAATTACATTGTAACAGCAATCTGGTTTTAGTATATACACTACAAGCACTGAAAATTCAGGAAGAGGGCAGACTTCTGAGGAGAATGAAAAGTACAGCCTATGGCTCACCTTTCCAGATGTGAAGTTATCACAGGAGGGAAGGAAGTCTTTCAGAAACTGTTCAGATGTACAGCTACACGCTGTTCAAAGTGTTTTCCTTCTGGTTTTCGGTCAGTTAAACAGAGATTGTTTCAAACAAGCAGATTTGATAGGGCAAGACATGAGAAGGCTAAGCTTGCAGTGCGCAGGCATTCAGAAACTGTATTAAGACTTGAAATCTCCTGTAACAGCTAAGGAAGTTGATATTTTGGAGGGTTGTCAGGTTTTGTGCTTGACTTACACTGAGGCTATAGTATGCCTTCCTCAGTCATGTTTTCATCAGGGGGTGCTGAATGGGTAAGATCATCTGAACATCTACCTGGGTGTTTTTGTTTTGCAAGACCAGTCCTTCAGTTCTCATCTGAGAGGAAAGCTGCCCTGTACTCTGCCTCGTTGAATGAAAAGTCACACACAAATACAAGAAGATTGCATAAGGGAAGGATTCAAGTGAAAATCCAGACATATTAATACACAGAAATTATGGTCATGAAGTAATCCTCAATTTCTATTCAAGTCTAATGCATGCACTCTGCCCAACATCAATACCAAATCAGTGCCTTTAGAATTCAGCAAAGAGCTGCTATTCGAAATACAATTCCTTCCAACCCAAAACACAAACAGTTACAAAGATGAAGGCATGGCTTATCTCCCAAAGGAGCACAGTGAAATATCTGGGTTGAAACCTATCATCTATTCCAGCAAGAGACCACTGCAGCAAGAGGAAACTAAGACGGCTCAGAAACAGCACCATTGCTTAACCAGTCTTCCTTCTTCCCTCGCTGCCTTCCAGATCGGTTTCAAAAGGCCTCCAGTCTTACAGGGGAGATGATATTACCACTGACTCCCTGTTCAGCCACGCAATTATACAGCCCTTAGGCTGCTAACACTGAAAAATTACACACAGCATAGCTCATGATATCAAATACACGATCACAACAGATTTAAGTACCAAGAACCACTGGTTTGCAAGATGTTTTGAAGGCCCCAACACCTAGAAAGAAGTTCAAAGTCATACTGGAATAGTAGGGTTTTTAATTTTTCCTCTTCATTGAATAAAATGCCATGGTTCATAGAAATTCAGCACTGCAGCCAAAACACTTCTCCTGCTCACAATTCCCTCCTACTGTTTGATTTCTCTTGTACATCATAGATGTGAAAAAGATGCACACGAAGTCCATTTGTAATGACATTTAATTGAACATAAAGACTAAAATAAGTCCACTCCATAAACAGTCCTTTAAGCAATCAAAAGGTAACAGGCTTTGTACCTGCACTACAGCTCCTGAAATGCAGCACTGAAGTTTAAAAGATTTATTTACAGTAAAAATGCATGAATAAATGACGTTTATTTATAAACAAACTCCTTTTTCATTTAACTTCTTAAAATAATATGGATTTTTATGTGATCGACTAAAAGCAGAAAGCGCAGCCAATTTTGTGAAGTTAAACCAAAAACCCAACAATTTTGAATAGGCTCTTAGTCTTATGCAGTCAGTTTGAGCAATTAAATACTTCTCAGGACTACAAGTGGCTAATGATCGCCACCCATTTACCTTCGTTTCTGTACTCACTGATAACCCCTTTCATTACAGTTCCCTTAAATTAACTGTACCTAGTGAGTTATCCATATCATCGACAGGGAGGGTCAGGGTTTTGTTTGTTTAGATAACTGACATGCACAGTCCCATTAAACATTATCTTCGTGATGTTCTTACCTCGAGGATGTACTTCTCTAAAGATCTGATGTTTTCCAGAGCCTCTGGATCCTGATGGATGACGACTACTTCCTTCAAAGGATACTGGGGAGAAGGAAAGAAAAAAAAACACAAACCAGAAACTTTTATCCTTCCAACTCAAAATAACCAACTTTAAAAATAATAATTTAAAAAATTAAGAAATTACGATTTGTCGTTTGAAGTATTCTACAGTTGAACTCTATTTGCTATTCACAACTTAATTATGCCATTTTCCCAGGCTTACCCCAAAGTTACAAAGCTACTGCACATTATTCCCAAGAGATGTTAAAGTGTTCTGACCTTTACTGGAATGGTTTTTCTGTCTCTGATTACTCGTCCAAGCTCAATCACAGACTGCAAACAAGAAATGGCACTTTCAATTTTTTTGTTGATGAGATCCTCCCTAGATTAAAAAGGAAACGTTATATTGCTTCATTTACATTGCATCTGTTTGAGGAGATTGAAGACATTTTACCCCCTCCAATGAAATTTCCTATAAGAGACTCAATTACGCCCTGTTTGGGGCAATTTGAAAGATGAACAAAACATGTTTTTCTTCTCTCTTGGTGGAGAAGATGAGGAAATAAACTTGCTGAAAACAAAACAGAGCTATTTTTAAGATCGTCTTTTGTTAGCACCTCTCACAAGCTGGAGATGATGGATTGAGTCATGCTACCTACTGTATTAACAGCCAATGAAGAGTAAGATTTACATTAATAAGAAGCAAAAAGATATTATAAATAGGGCACTTACAATGGCAATGAAATACCTATAATGCAACCAACTCACTGCATCTCAATTTATCATCTTTTCCAGGAACTCTAGATATTTCAGCTTGCTGGTTTAGACACTCTTGTCACCTTTCTGGCTTCACCATTTTAACACCCTTCCATTTTGAGGCAAGGCAGGGTTGGGGATTTTTTTTTGGGGGGGGTAGGGGGGTGTGTTTGGGTTTTTTTAATAAGAGGACGTTGTTTGAGTAAGCTGTCTTGTTTCAAATGTGCTGGCAGCCAGCCGTTCTGAAAATGTGCTTTTCTTCATTTCTTGAGCAGCTGCACAAATCGAGCAGCTCCTTTGAAACCACACAAGTGTCAGATCAAGACCAGAGGTACTGGTTCAAGAGAGAGTTGTGAATAAAATGGACACAGCTGTTTGCTGTAATGTAAGCAGCAAAAGTACTGGGATGAAAACCATACATCCAATAAGGATTGTCCAGAGAGAAAGAACTGGTAAAGCAAAACTGAGCACTGAAATACCCCATCTCAGCAGCAGGGCTTTGATTAAGGTGTTACTACCTATTTTGAAGTTTTTGTTCTTCCAAAAGTCAGTCGTTCATGGTACTCCTCCAAAACACATGGGAAGTGTAAATTGTGAGAGAGAAGATTTTGCTCCCAGAAAGATTTATCCAGTATCACGTGGCAGTATTTCATTACTTGCCACTATTTAACAGCATTTTGGAGCCACAAAAAGAGAATACTCTTCACAGATTACGTGCGCATCCACAAAACGTAATACACACCCAATCAGCTCAGGCACTAAGCGACCAAGTAACACCTCAGTGGGGTTTGTAACACGGGTATTGAGTCAAGTTCATCTGTGAAAGTGGCCAAGTCCCATACCCATCCCATTGCTTAAGTAGTATGTGCTGTAACTGCATCTAAATGCCCCCTGTTATTAACTGACAACATTGTCTTTATGCGGTCATCAGAAAAATATTCCAAGAAAAATGCAACGACGTGCTTAGGAACTCAAGGTGAAGCTCCAGAACTTCAACAATTTAATCCTTACAACAGTCTTTTTATCTGACAAAGGGAAGAATGGATACACTGGGGATCCAGTAAACTACACAAACTCCTAGCAGGTAAAAATCCAAAGTACAAGACAAAGAGGAGAGCCATGCAAGCCACCCAAATACGTCACACATTTGCATGATGAAGCAGCAAGTCAGTCAGTACCACCAGGAATATAAAGTGACTGAGCAACTTCTGAACGCTCACACTAAGCCCATGCCTGAACTCTGTTCCTGCAAATAGCTCCCTCTCCTTCCACTACTCCATTCTGCAGCAGCTCAAAACTATTTGATAGCTCACTGATGAGTTTTTCATTCTTTGATTACATATTCTTTACAGCACTTTCTTAGGGAACAGAAAATCAGCACCATCATTATGTCGATCTCAAATCCTCGTTGCAGTAACTCTCTGAAAGCTATCGGAAAGAACACACACCTTCCTCAAAGGATGTAGCAGCCATAAGAGAAACACCATTACGGGAAGGCTTAAATTTTTCAACTGGCATGTAAAGTATCAAGGTCAGCTCCCTTGTCCTTGAGGGTTTCCAAACTGAGCTGTCTTGCAAAAGTAAAGTTTGCTTCTCTTTTAGGGGGTGCCTAATAGCAGTCTGCTGTGGAGGCAGTAACTTAACTCACCATGGAGCACCAAGGCACTCATGACCAGCTCATCACTGCAGTACTAGTGTCTCCCTTGGCTGGGACAACCAAAACAACTTCAGGTGTCGAGTTCTACCTGGGCTGGGTTGATGCTACAGGTAACCCAAAGCATTCGTCCAGTACAACCACTATGGGCCCAAACCTTTTAGAGACACGATAGCACCTACAAAAACCCCTCACCTATCAGCATCCAAAGAAAGGATCTGTTAGGAAAGCTCTTTCTCATATTCTGTCTTCTCTTACAAGGAAGTGGCAATCTCTGGACAATGGTCTGAACTCCTGATCTGAAGCCAGAAGAACTCACTCTGCTGGCTCCGTATGTGGTCCACACACCACCATAATCCAATCCACATGGAATCTGGCATCAGCATTCACTGAGAAAGGCCTCAAGATGAGGGATGCACACATCCCTGCAGCTGTATGGCCCACAAGGAACTTTTATAATCCTTTCGAGCCCTTCAGAGGAAGTCGTTATAGCTTCTAGTCAGCACACACATCGAAGAGTAAAAAGGATTATTTCTTACCCACCATAAGCAGGAAACGTTATGAGTTGGGAACATGCATCCCAACTAACTTTGAGAGTGGGGTATGAAGTGTATTGTTAGTGAAATGCTCTCCTACAGCAGTGAAATGAACATGAATCAGAGTTCAGTCAAAACTTAAACATTTTTGGCTTTTAGGAAAGAATATGTTAACTATCATCCTGAAATTCTTCCTGAGACAAAGGAATATTCATGTTATTAAAGCAGCTTCTTTTTCTGTTACTCAAAAGTTTTAAACACAAGTGAAGAAGCACTGTTCTGTGAAAAGAAAATTAAAAAGCCCAACAAAAAATCAAAACAAAAATCCCCATAAACAAAAAAATCAACCAATCAACACAAAACAAAACCCAAAGCAAACAAGAAAACCCAACCCACCAACCCAACCCAAAACCTGCCAACCCAAAATCCAAACAACGGCTGCCTCTTACCTGACTTGGGGAAGCATGAGGTAGTGGATGCTTTCAGTGTTCTTTTCCTGAACCGATGCCGGATCAATAAGTGTCTTCAGATTCTGGTACATCAGCTCAGTGATAAATGGAGTATACGGTGCCTGTAATGTTGGATTCCATCACCATCTTTATTGTTTGTACATTGTGAATCAGTAATACTCATGAACTGCATAAGGACAGTTCAGCAAAGCCAGTGCTTACACAGTGTCTTCAATGCAGAATTGATGGTATTCAAAACGCTGACTGAACATTTGTGAGGTCAAAAATGAACTGTGCTATACAAATCAGTAGCAAGATGGTTTTTATTCTTCAGTCTGTCCCCCCAGTTTCTATGGTCAACTTTGACACAAAGATGCATGCTTTTAGGTTAACTACACTAAAAATGTCAGTTATAGCGGGCTGTAATTCCCTTACCATAAGTCTGCACATGGAGAACAAAACACTGAACAAGGTTTCCAAGGCCATAATGCAGTCTTCAGTCCCGTTCTCACCCTATGTGACGGATTCACCAAGAGAAAAAAACAACTGTAATTTTAGGATCAGTAAGTGCAATAAACTTCAAAAACTTCCTATATTGATGCAATAAACTGGTTTTCCAAACTGTATTCATTTTGCTCAATCCCATCCAGCGAGGGAAACAGTGTTAGTGAGCATCTTGTCTGCTTGGTTTTCCTCATAAAGCAAAGAGGAGTCAATAAATGACGTTAACTTCTCATATCTGATCATGTTTAAACCACAGCATAAAGATTTTGTGTAAGGCCATGAAGCTGCTATGGATTACACTAGCACAGACTACTACGACTTTGTTTAGAGTACAAGACTGCAGCAGCAGATACCCACCTTCAGTCTTCTGCGATTCATTCTGACGTACCAGTTGGTCAGGATATCAACAAACTTCACTAATCGAGGCACTACAGTGTACAGCCTGTAGGCTGGAAGGAGAAATGTTTACTGTGGTTAACATCTGTCCTCTGCATCAAGCTCCTCACTTAAAGGATCACATTAGCGTTTGGAGCTCTGCTGTTAAACATAAAACTTGAGGAGAAGCACGAGTTAGGAAGATCAAACACGAGATGAGATAAACTGTTATGTTAAAACCGTATTTTAAAATCGCACATGTCACCATTTGTTATGCTTCAAGGCAAACACACCTACCACCAAATTGCTCCCCTAATCCTACACAAACACGCATTACGTTGCCTTTTTGTCTTCGCCGGATTTATAACGAGGCACCTATTTCAACCAATTCTCCCCAGATTGCTTGCAATTTTTTATCATTTTTTTAAGTAACACAGTAGGCTAAAAGAAGGTAAAGTAACAGCAAGCTTGACGAGGTAAGAAGATAAACATAGCTGTATTTTCAAGTTCTGTGTAACTTAAAAGCATGGAGGACTGCCAACACAAAAAAGAAGGTCACGAGCATCACTATGCAACTGGGAAAACAAATTCTGGTTGTTCGCAGGAGAATCGGGGGGTGGGGATGGACCTTAAATCGCTTTTCTACGGAAAAACTTGTATATTACCTCTCAAAAAGCAAAGAGCTTTTTGCTCTCTATTCTGACTCAGTTTCATAAATCAAGCAGCTACTGAATTAAATGGATCTGTGCTTTAACAGCTTCACTACGCTTCTCACTGCATTTTCTAAAATAGAAGTGCTCTTAAAGGCAGAGTGCTGGTATTTAAACCTAAAAAGGAAATGCTCAGAAGATTCATGCCACGGTGTGGAAGACATTTATGCGGGAATTTGTATTCCTAAAAAAACCCCAGCTCTCTTCTAGCTGTGCATTATCTAGTTAGGAGGCTGGTTAAATGGACCGCCAAGAAACCACCAAAACCAAAATCGCCCTTCAGGGTTAGTGTATCTTTAACAAGAGATCCAAGTTAGCCTGGAAACGTGCATTGCTCCCCTCAGTATCTGTAATCCCAGCTCAGAAACCAAGCTGTGAAACCTCACCTTTCCATGGCTCAAGAAAAAGGCAGGCATCTACACACAGCCAGGCGTGTGCAGACACACACACAGACAGACAGACACCCTTTTGCATTTCAGTCATCAAGAGAAAAGTTGTTTAGTAAAATTATTTCTTGTATTAAGCACTTCTAAGTAGGAATAAAAAGCATAATATGGTTTACTGGTTTAAATACAGAATTTCAACCCCTGTGTGTTTAAACACAAAGGATTTTAAGTCCCCTTGTGTGTAAAACACAAAGGATTGCTTGCCCTACTACTTTCCATAACACCTTCCCAATATCTTACTACTCGCCCTGTTTATCAAAAGGTCCGAAATCCAGAAGTTTTTACCCTAAAAGATGAGGTTTAGCAGAGAAACTACACTACTGTTCACTAGCTCATAACTCACTTGGATACGTGCACTGTTCTCGCAGCAAAGCCCGCTGCAGAGGTCACCAGCACACAGCTCTCTAAAACAGCACTCCTGAAGAGAGCTCGTCTGCAGCTCCACTTTTGGGCACCGATTAAACCAGAGGCAACACGCAACAGCAAAAATCTTCCCGTTGTTTCAATACAGTTAATTTTAAGCAATTTCCCCACAGATAATTGAAATAATGCTGTTTTCTCATGTGTTGTCTCCCCTTCTCCAATGGCCTAAGTCAAAAGCTCTCCCCAAGGCAGGATCAGCAGAGGGTTTGTTAGACCTTGCTGAAGTTTTTCTAGGCTCTCTAAAGCATTCCCAAGTTGGGGAGTGCACGAGTGCTCCCCTTCCCAGCCTCACTCTGTGCAAGCGAGCTCAGCACTGAACTGACAGGGACTCCATTTCGGCTGAAACACTGCTGGCTATTCGAGCTGCTCGTAGAAACTGGGGCAGAATTACCATAAGTTTTCCTTAATGGAAACACTTTTCCAGAGGCAGGCGAGCCATGTAAAATTTAGCTCGACTATAAAATACACTTGATAAAACCAATCATAAAACAGTTTCAGTTGGAAAAGACCTTTAAGATCACAGAGTCCAACCATCGAGGGTTGGAAGAAGCTAAACTCAAATGCAGTATTTTATATATTACTGCATCTCCTTATCTGTCTGGCCGAATTCAGAGTTTATGCAGAAAAACAAATTGAAAAATTGTGTTTATGAACCACTTGCAAATGAGATGTGTCACTCATTTGATAAGCGCATCGCATTAAATTCATCTAGCACAAGACCACGGCATTTAATATCAATCCTATAGTCTTTAAAGTCTTCACATCACCATTTTCCAACAGGAATTTTCTTGTCCTGCTTCAAAGGATCTTCCTGCTTTCTAATAATGCCAGCTGACACATCCCTTTTTATTAGTTTTATCTTTCTCTTAGAAACCCAGAGCACAGAATTCAAGTTTCTGCCTTCATGCTCATCTTCCTGCAAATACTGTTTCTGTTTAAACTGTGCACGTACCCAAGATCCCAGGTACACATTCACAATTCAGTTTTCCACTGTCCCTCAAAGTATTTTCCTCTTTACACGCAGCATGTAAAACTTGTACAGGGTCTGCATGTTCCTGTTTGGCAACACGTGAAACTCCACACACCACTACCAATAAATTTCAAGGGCAGAACTTCTAGGAAGAAGCAATGTTGTCATCAGCAACAGACAGCTTCTGTCATATTCCTGGTTTTGGTAGCTTGAGGATTCTTTCTTCCTTTAATGAAATGTTCTTAGATGACCTCACCTGAATTTTATTGTTACCAAAATGATCTGCTTTATCTACTGTAGCAAGATAAATTCGCCTTTCTCGTCTTGGTGAGAGTGAGCACGAAGGTCTAAGAGAGGAAACAAGCAATGATTGAAGCAGAGGAGGACTGTCCTGTGTCCCCACACTCTGAGCTGGCATTCAGCTGTTTCCTCATCATCTACTTTCACACTGGGACCTTCTTCTGCCAAGCCCAAAGTACACCTGCAGAAGGCTTCTAGAAATTCCTCAGAGGGCAACTTATGATCACTGGCATAAGCAGGGTTGGTTTTTTATTCATTAACTGGGACTTAAATGGCAAAAGCCTCCTCCTTTCCAATATCTGTTTCCAGTGCCCTTCAAGGCACCAAGACCTCTTCAAATCCCATCTGCAAGTCTGTAAGCTTACTGGATCAGAGTAACTACTTCAGGGGACTCTTGCAGTGCCTTCTCTTTGCAACTAATATTGTGTTAATATAATGTGAGCATTGAGAGGTATGGGATGAGAGAAAAAAAACATGCAGGATGAAAAACCAGAAGAATATATTTTTACAGCTATGCAATATTAATGCTCTTCCTTCCTGCTGTACACACTCCCAATATGATTACAAAGAAACCCTCTCCATGGAATGGTGCAGGGGAAAATTTACTCCCCACGCTCATGTACCTCTCAAAAATATTTTATTTAGCTGACAAGAGCACTGCCCATTTTATCCTATTTTTTTACAGCTTCCGCAAATTCCATTTCACTTACTTGTCACTGCTGTCTTTCAACTACTATTACAATATTAATTGCTCCAAGTACTACAGAAGATGTTGTTACAGTAACAAGCCACATCACTGAGCTCACGGGATTGGCCATGGCAAAAAAAAGCCACATTACTTTTTGAAATCTCATGAAGCAGCGTAGCAAAATCTGTATTAACACTCGTGAGAGCTCCATTCCATGTACTGTGGTAGCTGGTTACGGATTTTCTTCCTTTTACCTGAACTGTAAATCTCATGTGGAATCTGGAAATCTCTGGATGAACTGACCAGTTCTCTAACCAAAAATTAAACACCGGTACACACACCCGACCAAACGCGCGTACCTGCCATTTCAGCTTTGAAGAACTGAATGAGTGACTGGGTGAAAGAAAGAATCCATTTATCCATGATGTTATTGCTCTCCTTAACTGTGTTCTCATTGTAAAGGAATTCTCTTCCCTCGTCCTATCATCAACAAGAAAACACAAAACACATTTTTGAAGTCATAAGGGTATACATTCAAACTTCTGCACTGAGCCACTTGTCAGCCACTTGTATTTTGTCACCTTCACTGTGTTACACTGGTGTCCTAAGAGAGAACATTCAATTCCAGAAACACGTATGGAAGAGAAACCTGACTCCAACTGCTCTTGATTTCATCACACCAAACCTTCAACTACAAAGGAGGCCAGTGATTTGGATCTGTAAAACCAGACACAGCAGCACAGCACGCAGCGGTATGCAGTTGCTCTTTC